GCTACTATATCTCACATCACACCCATTATATCTGACAGCACATCCACTGTATCTGTGTCATCACACCCAGATTATCGATCCTTTAACCCCCATTGTATGTATGATATCACAGCCACAATATGTATGACATCATATGAACTGAATATGATGTCACATCCACTCTTTATGATATCACAACACTCTATGACATCACACCCACTGTGTTCCTGTCACCACACCCAGTACACCTGACATCACCTCCGCTCTAGCTGCGTCATTTCTTACAGTATACTGATTATACTTCACCTACTATATATTTGTCATCAAACCCACTATTTATATGACATCATATGAATTCTACGTGACATCACACCCATTCTTTATGACGTCACCGGACTGTATTCATGACATCACATCCACCCTTTTCATGACAGCACACTCACTATATATGACATCACTTACACTATACTTGTGCTATCGCAGCCAATGTATCTATGGCAAGTAACCTACAATGTTGATGACATCATTCTCAGTATATATCACATCTCACATGGCGTATGAATGACAACACACCCACTGCATCCGGCATCACACCCACTGTATCTGTGTAATCACACCCACTTGATTGAAGACATCACACCCTATGTATGTATGAAATCACATCCACTGCATGTAGGACACCGTAGGAACTGTATATGACATCACATCCACTCTTGAGGACGTCATAGCCTTGTTTGTATGTTATGGCAACCACTATGTTTATGACATCATATCCACTTTATATGATGTCACACACACTGTGTGTGTTTGCCAAGACAACCTCTATATCTGTCTTCAAACCCATTCTATCTGCCATCAAATCCCCTAGTATGTGTTCACACACACTCTGTTGAGGACATCACACCACCTATGTAAGACATCACAGGTGGAATATGTATGCCATCCTAGGCACTATACAAGACATCATATCCACACTTTATGACAACAATCGTTCTTATTTCTGACATCACATGCACTGTATTCATGACATCACACGCACTATATATGACATGCCATCGACTGTGTATGATATCACCTTCACTATACGTGTGACATCGCACTATGGCTATATCTATGACATCTCACACTCTAGGTTGGTGACATATCCACTTTATATGGCATCACACACTGTGTTATGACAGCAAAACCATTGTGTAACTTCACAACCACTATGTCTGACATCACACCCACTTTATCTGACTCATCACACCCAATGTTTCAATTTCCTCAAACCCAGCGTATGTATGACATCAGAGCCACTATATGGATGACATCATATGCACTACATATGACCTCACAGCCAGACTTTATGATACCATGCCACTTTATATATGACATCAGGTCCATTATATCTGACGTTACATTCACTAAATCTGACCTGAGGTCCACTGTCTCTGTGTCATCACACTCACTCTATCGATAATATCACAGCCACTCTTTGTATGATATCACATCCATTATGCTTGTGACATCATATACACTATGTTTATGACATCATATCCACTATGTATGACATCACAACACTGTGTGTTGATGACAGCACACTTGGCATCTATGACATCTTTTGCACTGCATATGATATAACATCCACTCTATCAAACCAAACCTCAGTATGTATGATGTCACATCCACTTCAGGCGTGACATCACACCCACTGTATCAGACATCGCTCCCAGTCTATCTTTGTCATCACAACTTCTCCACTGATATCACACCCACTTTGGAATGACACCACATCCACTATATGTGTGACATCATGTGCACTATTTACAACATCCCATCCACTCCTCATATCATTATGCTACTGTACTTATGTCATCACAACCTCTATATATGAAACCACATCCAGTATGTAGGGCAACATATACACTATACATGTGACATCACAGCCACTCATCTGTGTCATGACACCCACTGTATAGACATCATTACTCCCGCTCTTTGTAAGACATCACACTCGCCGTACGTGTGGCATCGTTTGCACTATACAAGACCTGGCATCCTCACTTTATGACCACAAGTCACCGTTTTTATGACATAATACCCACTAATTTGACATCGTATCCACTGTATCTGTGTCATCACACCCAATGTATTGACGATATCACACCAACTATACTTATAATTTCTCTTCTGCTATGTATCACGACATCATATCCATGGAATACAACATGACAGCCACTGGATCTGTGTCACCACACCCAGTGTAGCAGTTATACCACACCCACTCTCTGTATCAACATCTCACACACTTTATGCATGACACCTTATTCAGCATGCATGACATCACATGAACTCTTTATGTCGTCACACCCCTATATGTATGACATCACACTCAGAATATTTGTGACATCATAGCCAAGATATATGATATCACCCATACTGGTTTCTTGACAACAAAACGACTCTACCAGATATCTCAACCACAACATTTGACATCACAGCCCCTCTATCTGTGTTTCCACACCTGCTGTATCGATGCCGTCACAACAGATATGGAAGTCATCACACTTGGCACACATATGACATCATACACATTCTACATGACGTCACATTCCCACTTTATGACATCAATCCTCAGTATTTATGACATCACAACCACTGCATTCATGACATCAGATCTCCTATATATGACATCACATCCACGGTTTATGACATCTCATCCCCTTTACCTGGGACATCACAGCTGCTATATCTGTAACATCACACCCATTATGTTTGTGAATTCATATCCAATATTTGACATCAAACACACTGTTTTCAGACCATGCAACCACTATATCTCACATATTAACCTCCATATCTGTATCTGTGTGATCACACACACTCTATGGATGATATAACACACACTGTATTTATGATATCACTTGCAATATATATATGGCACAATATGCACTGTATGCGGCATCACAACCATGAGATATGACCTCACAATGCTCTAGGCCTGACATCAAAGCTACTATATCTCACATCACACCCATTATATCTGACAGCACATCCACTGTGTTTGTGTCAGCACACCCAGATTATCGATCATTTAACCCCCATTGTATGTAAGATGTCACAGCCACAATATGTATGACATCATATGAACTACATATGATGTCACATCCACTCTTTTTTTTTAACTTTATATATTTTTATTTTAATATTTATACCAACAATATATTTTATATTTGTAACAACATAAAAATAGGTATATTCTTTATGCTTATAGTTTTCATATGACAACAAAAGCTACAATATTTATAAATTAAATTAAAACAAAACCAATAAAACACAAATTAACCACCTTAATTCATTTAACATAACAAATGATGCTGCTTTTTTCAAATAATAACATTTTGCTCAAATGAAATTAACCACAAGTATTTGGTTTACTAGCAAAAAGCTCCAGCTTCAGATCCCATTCTATTTCTAAATAACAATATGTGTTCACATATGTATCTTATTCAACTGGTATTGATAAATTCAAGCCTTATTCTCCCTCTTTCAAGATAATCAGAACAAAATATTGATCACACCGGTCAAAAGTCAGTCTTGAAATGCCCATTTTAAAAGATGTGAACTGAAAGACTGAAAAGATCAACAACTGCCTTCTCTGGAATGGACATTAATCACGAGAACCTGGAGCAGAAACCATCTTTACAAGTTAACTTGCTATGATACTCATTACTAATGAGCGGAGGAAGCACTCAGTCTGGGAGCCTCAACACAAAGGACAGACTATCAGGGTACAGCTCTGAATAAGTATTCGACCTCTTCATGTCATGTCAGATCAGGTTAAAGTGTACAACAGCTTCATACCATCCTTCCCCTAGCTCTCCTGTAATCTGTGTTCTGAAGCTTCAACAATTTTACTTGTTTTCAAATCAGATTTTAATTTTGAATATTTAATGCTATTGTTGATGTGCATTTCACTCTCCTCGTGTTTGCTGAGAATATGTGATAAATGCTGCCAATCTTTGCACCCATTCTCATTCTTCAGTTGATTTTTTCCCTCCCCAAAGAGTTTGCAATACAGACAAAACACAGAATCTTTCGAGGTCGAATAAAGTAACCAGGATCTAGTGGTTTTCTCACCATTTGCAAGAATTCTTGTATAGTAAGTTTCTGAAAACTTCCTCCCTGTACTGTCTTTTGGGAAGTTAAAATTTCTTACTTGAGGTGGATCATTTTCAACTAGAGTGTCCCTCTGTTTAATACTCAAAATTCGGGGCCATGTACCTGGATCTGCAGAAAGCACAGCTGAAATAACGGAGTCTTCTGATGGTTTCTCTCCCAGTTGCTCTCGAAGTTTATCAGCTATGCCTGGTAAATTCACATCCTGTTGGACCACTGATGTGTCTAGGCTACATTCTGCTGAAACCTGTAGTTCTGAAGTCTTTTCCTTTTTTTCTGGTATTTCTTCTATTTTTTCCAGAAGTATATTCAACGATCCATAAAATTCTCTTTCATTTTCTTCTCCAACAGCATTCCTTTTTCTGTTTTCTGATGCTAATACTTTTTTTAAGTTTGTTTCCATCATCTGTTTATACTCGTTAACACAACTTTGGCAGCAAAATCGCATCTGCTGACCTTCAACCAGGACATTGTTCCCAGCTCCTTTGCCGGGCAGGTACTCGCCGCACTGCTCACAGCAGTTCATCACTAGACCATTGGCCAGCCTGTACTTGTTAAAGCACTGGTTACTGCACAGCTTGTGTGTCACGTTGTTAACGCTGACTTCATGCCGAATCTCTGTTAGTTTATTACAGATTGTACATCTTGATTTGTTCAGAACTCTTTTTCGAAGATTCTGGCTGTCTTCACAGGGAGACAAATGAGACGTACTACAATATTTGGGGAAGGGTTCACTTGACTCCCCTTAAGGAACAACGGTAGCTTTTTTGGTAGGTGCGTCTCAGGACTATGATGAGTTGTAAATCCTCCATTCTGAAATTCACCTCCTGCCACATTCATTCTACCAGGATTAAAAGGTCCTACTGCAGTCTTGGTCTTACTTCTTGAAAGACTGGAAGTGGAGAAATCCAAATCTTTGGTTCTGTTTTTAGTTCCAGGAAAACCCCATTCAATAAAACTGGGAGAAACTGTCTTTTCCCTTCCATTTGTTTCCATGTCCTCTTCATCATCAATAACAATTGTCTCACTTGTATTTCCTTCTGAGAAGCCAAATATCTTGATGAAGGAAGAATTACAGAATAATGTCCTAGAAGCTTTTTATTTCTTGATGCAGGAAATACAAAATGTCTTTGATCAGCTATTACTGGAGCAGAAATTGAAGGAGGCTGTATAGATTCAATAAACACAACATCATCATCATCACCATCATCACCTTCCACCGATGAGTTTCTAGATCTATTAACTAAAGTACTAGCTGCGTCACCAAATGAGTCTCCTACATCCATGAGATTAGCTGTCATGGCTTTACTCCCTAATAAGATAGGAGTCTGTTCAGTCAAGTCTAATCTTCCTGCTGAACATTCATCCATGCCAAAGAACCGTGGACGCTTTCCTCCTTAATTACTATCACCAGACTGTCCTGAAGGTGATTCCTGGCCCCGGTTCTGGCTGCGGCTCCGCAGAACAAACTTCCCCGCCCACGGCCCACACCGCCTTCGGCAACACGCCCAACTCCGCTCGGCCCAGTCCCGGCTTTAGCGCTCGTCACATCCACTATTTATGATATCACAACACTCTATGACATCACACCCACTGTGTTCCTGTCACCACACCCAGTACACCTGACATCGCCTCTGCTGGAGCTGCGTCATTTCTTACAGTGTATTGATTATACTTCACCTACTATATATGTGTCATCAAACCCACTATTTGTATGATATCATATGAATTCTATGTGACATCACACCCACTCTTTATGACATCACCGGACTGTATTCATGACATCACATCCACCATATTCATGACAGCACACTCACTGTATATGACATCACTTACACTATACTTGTGCTATCGCAGCCAATGTATCTATGGCAAGACACCTACAATGTTGATGACATCATTCTCAGTATATATCACATCTCACATGGCGTATGAATGACAATACACCCACTGCATCCGGCATCACACCCACTGTATCTGTGTAATCACACCCACTTGATTGAAGACATCACACCCTATGTATGTATGAAATCACACCCACTGCATGTAGGACACCATAGGAACTGTATATGACATCACATCCACTCTTGATGACGTCATAGCCTTGTTTGTATGTCATGGCACCCACTATGTTTATGACATCATATCCACTCTATGTGATGTCCAACACAGAGTGTGTTTGCAAACACAACCTCTATATCTGTCTTCAAACCCATTCTATCTGCCATCAAATCCCCTAGTATGTGTTCACACCCACTCTGTTGAGGACATCACACCACCTATGTAAGACATCACAGGTGGAATATGTATGCCATCCTATGCACTATACAAGACATCATATCCACACTTTATGACAACAATCCTTCTTATTTCTGACATCACATGCACTGTATTCATGACATCACACGCACTATATATGACATGCCATCGACTCTGTATGATATCACATTCACTATACGTGTGACATCGCAAAATGCCTATATCTATGACATCTCACACTCTAGGTTGGTGACATATCCACTGTATATTGCATCACACACTGTATTATGACAGCAAAACCATTGTGTAACTTCACAGCCACTATGTCTGACATCACATCCACTCTATCTGACTCATCACACCCAAGGTTTCAATTTCCTCAAACCCAGCGTCTGTATGACATCACAGCCACTATATGGATGACATCATATGCACTACATATGACCTCACTGCCAGACTTTATGATACCACGCCACTTGAAGTATGACATCAGGTCCATTATATCTGACGTTACATTCACTAAATCTGACCTGAGGTCCACTGTCTCTGTGTCATCACACCCACACTATCGATAATATCACAGTCACTCTTTCTATGTTATCACATCCAGTATGCTTGTGACGTCATATACACTATGTTTATGACATCATATCCACTATTTTTGACATCACAACACTGTGTGTTTATGACAGCACACTTCGCATCTATGACATCATTTGCACTGCATATGATATAACACCAATCTATCAAACAAAACCTCAGTATCTATGATGTAACATCCACTTCAGGCGTGACATCACACCCACTGTATCAGACATCGCTCCCAGTCTATCTTTGTCAACACAACTTCTCCACTGATGTCACACCCACTTTGGAATGACACCACATCCACTATATGTGTGACATCATATGCACTATATACAACATCCCATCCACTCCTCATATCATTACGCTACTGTACTTATGTCATCACAACCTCCATATATGAAACCACATCCTGTATGTAGGGCAACATATACACTATACATGTGACATCAGAACAACTCATCTGTGTCATGACACCCACTGTATAGACATCATCACTCCCGCTCTTTGTAAGACATCACACTCGCCGTACGTGTGGCATCGTTTGCACTATACAAGACCTCGCCTCCTCACTTTATGACCACAAGTCACCGTGTTTATGACATAACACCCACTAATTTGACATCGTATCCACAGTATCTGTGTCATCACACCCACTGTATTGACGATATCACACCAACTATACTTATAATGTCTCTTCTGCTATGTATCACGACATCATATCCATGGAATACGACATGACAGCCACAGGATCTGTGTCATCACACCCACTCTTTCAATGATATCACAACCCTTGTATGTATTACACCTCACGCACTATATGGATAACATCATATACACTCTATAAGGCATCACATCCACATTTTATGGCATCACACCACATTATTTATGACATCACATGCACTGTATTCCTGACATCACTCCCACTATATCTTACACTACATCCACTGTATCTGTGTCATCAAACCCAGTGTAGCAGTTATACCACTCCCACTCTCTGTATCAACATCTCACACACTTTATGCATGATACCATATTCAGCATGAATGACATCACATGAACTCTTTATGTCGTCACACCCCTATATGTATGACATCACACTCAGAATATTTGTGACATCATAGCCAAGATATATGATATCACCCATACTGGTTTCTTGACAACAAAAAGACTCTACCAGATATCTCAACCACAACATTTGACATCACAGCCCCTCTATCCGTGTTTCCACAGCTGCTGTATCGATGCCATCACAACAGGTATGGAAGTCATCACACTTGGCACACATATGACGTCATACACACTCTACATGACGTCACATACCCACTTTATGACATCAATCCTCAGTATTTATGACATCACAACCACTGCATTCATGACATCAGATCTCCTATATATGACATCACATCCACGGTTTATGACATCTCATCCCCCGTACCTGGGACATCACAGCCACTATATCTGTAACATCACACCCATTATGTCTGAGAATTCGTGTCCAATATTTGACATCAAACACACTGTTTTCAGACCATGCAACCACTATATCTCACATCTTAACCTGCACATCTGTATCTGTGTGATCACACGCACTCTATCGATGATATAACCCACACTGTATTTATGATATCACATGTAATATATATATGGCACAATATGCACTGTATGCGGCATCACAACCATGAGATATGACATCACAATGCTCTAGGCATGAGATCAAAGCTACTATATCTCACATCACACCCATTATATCTGACAGCACATCCACTGTATCTGTGTCATCACACCCAGATTATCGATCATTTAACCCCCATTGTATGTATGATATCACACCACAATATGTATGACATCATATGAACTGCATATGATGTCACATCCACTCTTTATGATATCACAACACTCTATGACATCACACTCACTGTGTTCCTGTCACCACACCCAGTACACCTGACATCGCCTCTGCAGTAGCTGTGTCATTTCTTAGAGTGTATTGATTATACTTCACCTACTATATATGTGTCATCAAACCCACTATTTGTATGACATTATATGAATTCTATGTGACATCACACCCACTCTATGACATCACCAGACTGTATTCATGACATCACATCCACCCTATTCATGACAGCACACTCACTGTATATGACATCACTTACACTATACTTGTGCTATCGCAGCCAATGTATCTATGGCAAGACACCTACAATGTTGATGACATCATTCTCAGTATATATCACATCTCACATGGCGTATGAATGACAACACACCCACTGCATCCGGCATCACACCCACTGTATCTGTGTAATCACACCCACTTGAGTGAAGACATCACACCCTATGTATGTATGAAATCACACCCACTGCATGTAGGACACCATAGGAACTGTATATGACATCACATCCACTCTTGATGACGTCATAGACTTGTTTCTATGTCATGGCACCCACTATGTTTATGACATCATATCCACTCGATATGATGTCACACACACTGTGTGTTTGCCAAGACAACCTCTATATCTGTCTTAAAACCCATTCTACCTGCCATCAAATCCCCTAGTATGTGTTCACACCCACTCTGTTGAGGACATCACACCAACTATGTAAGACATCACAGGTGGAATATGTATGCCATCCTATGCACTATACAAGACGTCATATCCACACTTTATGACAACAATCCTTCTTATTTCTGACATCACATGCACTGTATTCATGACATCACACGCACTATATATGACATGCCATCGACTGTGTATGATATCACATTCACTATACGAGTGACATCACACAATGCCTATATCTATGACATCTCACACTCTAGGTTGGTGACATATCCACTTTATATGGCATCACACCCTGTGTTATGACAGCAAAACCATTGTGTAACTTCACAGCCACTATGTCTGACATCACACCCACTGTATCTGACTCATCACACCCAAGGTTTCAATTTCCTCAAACCCAGTGTATGTATGACATCACAGCCTCTATATGGATGACATCATATGCACTACATATGACCTCACTGCCAGACTTTATGATGCCATGCCACTTGAAGTATGACATCAGGTCCATTATATCTGACGTTACATTCACTAAATCTGACCTGAGGTCCACTGTCTCTGTGTCATCACACCCACTCTATCGATAATATCACAGCCACTCTTTCTATGATATCACATCCAGTATGCTTGTGACATCATATACACTATTTATGACATCATATCCACTATGTATGACATCACAACACTCTGTGTTGATGACAGCACACTTGGCATCTATGACATCATTTACACTGCATATGACATAACATCCACTCTATCAAACCAATCCTCAGTATTTATGATGTCACATCCACTTCAGGCGTGATATCACACCCACTGTATCAGACATCACTCCCAGTCTCTCTTGGTCGACACAACTTCTACACTGATGTCACACCCACGTTGGAATGACACCACATCCACTATATGTGTGACATCATATGCACTATATACAACATCCCATCCACTCCTCATAG